AGGATGAGCCAGTAGTTGGCAATATGCCCCCACATCATTCTAGAACAGTGTTTTGTGAAAGTAACCTGGAATTTTGTCGCAGAATGGTATCTGACCTTTATTTAAACCCATTAAAAATAACTATTAAATTTAGATCCAAATCTCAGGAGCTTAATTTCCTAGCTATGTGACCTGGGCATTGGTTAGAAGCCCTTTGAGAACTCTAAATGGGAGCAAGTAAAATTGTTACCTTAAAACTTGGATGTCATCTTAGGATACCTGGAGGCTCAGTCAGTTAAGCATCTGACTTCAGCTCAGGTCATGATGCTGGGGTTGGGATTTAGTCCTATGTTGGGCTCCTTGCTCTGTGGGGAGTCTGTATGTTTCTCTGCCCTTTCCCCTGCTTGTGCTCTCTTGATCTCTCTCTTTCTCTCAAACAAATGAAAAATAAAATCTTAAAAAAAACTTTAAGTCATCTTAACACTGGTAGTTTTGTGGGTTTTTTTTTTGTTGTTGTTAGTTTGTTTTGTTTTATTCATGAGACACACAGAGAAAGGCAGAGATATAGGCAGAGGGGGAAGCAGCCTCCTTGAGGGGAGCCCGATGTGGGACTCAGTCCCAGGACTCTGGGATCACGATCTGAGCCAAAGGCAGATGCTCAACCACTAAGCCACCCAGGCGCCCCAACACTGGTAGTTTTTAAACCTTATGGATTACAGAACCCTTTGAGAGTTGAGGCTTCTGATCCCTAAAAAGACATTGACAGGAAAAAAGTGTATTTCACCATTTACTCCAGGCTAAATCTTCTGCCTTAAAGGACAAGAGAGCAATTTAATGTATAAATTTACCTTTAAAAATATGTCCATTAGAAAGTGGTATACAGGTTGGAGTGTGGAAGGGCCTATTATAACAACAAAGAGACACAAATGCTGGCATGGGAACCAAATAGAGAAAGGATGCACAGGCCCCCAAATTTCACATATTTTGGTTTAGTTTGCAAAACTATCTTAATTTGTGCCATAACTATTTCAGAAATGTTTCATAAATTCACAGAACTTCTTCAGTTCTGATTCCATATTCAGTGACCAAATTTATGACTACACAGTAACCATCTGTGTAGTCATTTTGAGAGAATATACCCAGAGGCATTTAGGAATCCTCAAATTTGAAGCATTATATGTAAATCCTTAGTAAAAAACTGATTATTCACCATTGTGTGATATGTGCTCACATTCTATATTTTTCTTATTCCTGGGCAGCAATTTTGTATGACACAACTTTATCCTCATCACCATTCTGATATAGAACTTAATATTTTTGTTTTACAATTACCTTCTTCTTCCCCTCTGAGCATTCCCAAAACACTTTCATATCCTTTGATGTCAATTCAACCTCATGACAACCTTCAAAACAATATAAACATTATATATCACATGATTTTTATATGTCCCTTCTCAGTCTGCAGTACAGATGACAGAGTGACAACCTCCATCTCATGTGAACCTGTGTACTCCTGTTTGCTTCTAAACACAGTGAGAGAGAAAAGGAAATCCTTTTCAAAATCAATCTTCTTACTTCTCAGAGCCTCTTTTTGAGCGCCAGGATTCATCTCCCAAACATTCACAGAATCACAGATAAGAGGGACTCAGGAATCATAGCCCAGGGGTTATTAACCAAGACTGAATGTCAATGTCTCCTGAAATGGGATGAGGGGTGGGCACTAACACAATCCCTTCACCACTGCCCTCTACCGCCCCATCCCCACCATAAGCAGAGCCTGGATCAGAAGGTCTTTTATTTCCACAATCTTTACCACAGAAGCCAGAGGTAAATAGCAAGAAGGATCCTTGCTCAGTGAGCAACTTGCCTGGGAAATACTATCCATCTCTCACAGGCACAAGTTTCATATAAAACAAGGGCTCAGGGGCTAGAAACTTTTTGTTCCTGAAACTTCCTGATCTTGAGACTCCCCTTTCCCAAAGATTGATACCAAATAACCCTGCCTGGGAAAGCTGATTCCATCACCTTGGAAATCATCAATAAGGACCATATAGATACAGACCAACACAAAAACAACAACACAAAGACTTGGAAAATGAAGCTGTCATCAAAACCACAGTCAAAAAGTAGGCCAGGACTTACATGCTAAACATAAACAGGATGGCTGCTTGCTAAAGCAAAATATTTAAATAAGATCTTCTAAAATAATAGTCTTCTTAATTACTTTAAAGTCTTCTAAAATAATAGTCAAATATTTGTATAATTAATATATAATAAAAATGCCCACCATAACAACAATCATTTGTTGTTTCTTAAATTCCACATGTCAGTGAAATCATGAAGTATTTGTTTTTCACTGACTGACTTATGTCACTAAGCATAATGCTCTCTAGCTCCATCCATATCATTGCAAATGGCAAGACTTCATTCTATTTATGGTGGACTAATATTCTATTGTACACATATATAACATATTTATCCATTCAGCAGTTGAAGGATGTTTAGGCTTTTTCCATAATTTGGCTATGGTAGATCATGTTATAAACACTAGGGTGCATCTCTTTGAATTGATTTTTTGTATCCTTTATGTAAATACATAGCAGTGCAATTGCTAGATGATAGGGTTTCTCCATAATTTGGCTATTGTAGATCATGCTGTAAACATTGGGGTGCATCTCTTTGAATTGATATTTTTGTATCCTTTGGGTAAATATGTAGTGGTGCAACTGCTGGATTGTAGGGTAGTTCTGTTTTTAACTTTTTGAGGAACATCCATAGTGTTTCCCAGAGTGGCTGTACCACTTTGCATTCCCACCAAAAACCTAAGAGGGTTCCTTTTCTCTGCATCCTTGCCAACACCTGTTGTTTATTGTATTGTTGGTTTCAGCCATTCTGCCAGATATGAGGTGATATCTCATTGTAGTTTGATTTGTATTTCTATGATGATGAGTGATGTTGAGTATCTTTATATGTCTGTTGATCATCTGCATATCTCTTTGGAAAAATGTCCATTAATGTCTTCTGCCCCTTTTTTACTGGAATTTAAGAAACAAAACAAATGAGGAGGGAGGTAAGATGGCAGAGTAGTAGGATGACCCTATGTTGGCTTCCTCACTCAAACACAGCTAGATAAATATAAAATCATTCTGAACACCCAATAAATCAATCAGAAGTCTTAGAGAACAAAGCTATACATCTGCAAACCAGAAAAATAACCTGTGTAAACTTTTCTTAACAAGCACACCAAAACACACTTAAGACCTAGCTTTATTTATTGTTTTCTTTCAATTTTGATTTTCAATTTTATTTTGTTTTTTATTTTTATTTTTTCATTTATTTTTATTGAAGTTTGATTTGCCAACATATAGTATAACACCCAGTGCTCATCCCAAATGCCCTCCTCAGTGTCTGTCACCCAGTTACCCCAACCCCCTGCCCACCTCCCCTTCCACAACCCTTTGTGCATTTCACAAAATTAGCATTCAATTTTATTTTGTTCTTTTTGTCTTTTTTTCACTCCAAAATGACAAGGCAAAGGAACTCACCCCAAAAGAAAGAACAAGAAGAAATGATAAATAGAGATATAATCAATGCAGATATAAGTAAGATGTCTGAATGAGAATTTAAAACAATTGTAAGCATACTAACTGGATTTGAAAAAAGCATAGAAGATACTAGAAAATTCCTTATTGCAGCGATAAAAGAACTAAAATCTAGTCAGCCTCAAAAAAAATGCTATAACTGATATGCAAACCAAATAGAGGCTATAAAAATGAGGATGGATGAAACAGGAAAAAAAATCAATGATACAAAAGATAAATTATGGGAAATAATGAACCTGAAAAGAAAAGGGAAACAAAGGTAATGGATCATGAAGGTAGACTGAGGGAACACAGTGACGTATTACAATGGATAGCCTTTGTATTATAGTAGTTCCAGAAAATGAAGAGGGAAAGGGGGAAGAAGGTTTATTTGAGCAAATTATAGCCAAAAATTGTCCTAATCTGGGGAAGGATACATTCATCAATATCCAAGAAGCACAGACAACTCCCATTAAATTCAACAAAAGTTGACTGAGGTCAAGGCATGTCATACCCAAATTCACAAAATACACAGGCAAGGAGAGAATCCTGAAAGCAGCAAAGGAAAAAAAATGTCTCAGACTTATAAGGGAAGACAGAACACACACACACACACACACACACACACACACACACACGACAGATCTCATCCACAGCAGATCTGCCACAGAAAATTAGCAGGCCATAAGACGGTGGCAAGATATATTCAACATGTTGATTGGGAAATATGCAGCCAATAATACTACATCCAGCAAGGCTGCCATTCAGATACCACGTCACACCAGTGAGAATGGTGAAAATTAACACGACAGAAAACTATAAATATTGGAGAGGATGTGGAGATAGGGGATCCCTCTTGCATTCTTGGTGGGAATGTGAGCTGGTACAGCCACTCTGTAGAATTGTGTGGAGGTTTCTCAAATTGTTAAAAATAGAGCTACCCTATGACTCAGCAATTGCACCACTGGGGATTTACCCCAAAGTAACAGATGCAGTGAAACGGCAGGACACCTGCACCACAATTTTTTTCTGGAGTCTATAAATTTATTGAGTAAAACCGAAACAATGTCAGACATGTTCAATTCGGTTTGGTTCAAATGTGGCTGATGTCCATCTGCAGCAGAAATGAACTGAGGTAAAGAGAAGACCCAAGGATGCTGGCAAGGGGGCCACTGAACAAAACAATCCTCTGTTAATTGTAAAAGCAGGTGTCACACAGCCAGTGAGTCAGTTAGCAGAGGCAGGGAGACGTGGTGTTTAATGAGCAGGGATAAAACCAGATTCAGCAAGAACTTTCAAAAGAGGAGAGGGCCAGAGCATTTAGAGATCGAGTTGCAACAGGTGTGGACCTCCGGTTCACTTGGGGAACACTGTGACCACGTTATAGCCCTCAGGGGGTGTGACCCGCTCCTGAGCGTACTTTTCACAGTAGATCTGATCCTACATGAAGAAATGGCTCTTCTGTTTCAGATTGGGGCCACATTCAGTGCACACATAACACTCAGGGTGACGGTGGCGGTCCCGGAGCTTCACAAACACGCTGACAATGCCGGTGCCACATTTGTCACACATGGGCAACTTCTGGGCATTTCACAAACACGCTGACAATGCCGGTGCCACATTTGTCACACATGGGCAACTTCTGGGCATTTCCAATAGATGCAGCCACTTTGGTGACTGGAGCCTTAACACTTCTGAAACCTGATGGCTTGTTGGGATCCCCTTTCTCCTCAGACTCTAAGATTTCCTGCAATACCAGGAATGAAGTGGATTGCTTGGGGGGGGGCTCATTTAACTCCTGTTTCTCATGAAGCATCTTGTAAACTTCAGATTCTTTGTCGTTGACAAGTCCGCTTAGAGGCTGAGAATGGTCTAAGGCTCTGCCATTTGTCTCCTGCCCACTGGCTGCTGTCTTTGACTCCAGGGTGTTGTTGAAGTTGGATATGTTTTCAGAGGAATAGAGACCAGCTGAGTTGTTGTACTGGTTTGTGATGACCCTGGGGGCAGAGCTGGAGGCCAGCGAGGCGGTAAAGGGCATGGCACTCCGGTTGTGGGCGCTTCCTATGTTCAGGACCTCTTGGGGTTCCGAGGCCAAATTCATCTTGTACGGATGACGTTTCCCTTCCTCTGTCACCAGGGAAGACCAGTTTTTTTGTTCATATCTGGTGACTGTGAGGGTCATGTTGTCCATGCAGCCTTTGATTTTGTTCTGAGCTTCCAGGTGTGTCATACCACTGCTATTTTCCCCATCGATGGCTATGATTACATCTCCGATGCATAAGTTAGCTCCCGCAGCCTTGCTTCCAGGAGTGACCCGGGAAATGGCCAAGGGTTGTTCGAAGTCTTTGCCCCCCACGAGGCGGAAGCCCCCCTGGAGGACGATCTGCTGGGTGGACATGGTGTGGCAACCCACGGGAACCGACGCGGCAGGACGCGTTGCGCTGGGCTCCCCGGCAGCTGTTGGTAAAAGAGCCACCCCAATGTTTATACCAGCAATGTCGACAATAGCCAAACTGTGGAAGGAGCCTCAGTGTCCATCTAAAGATGAATTGATAAAGAAAATGTGGTCTATATATACAATGGAGTATTACTCAGCCATTAGAAACAAAGAATACCCACCATTTGTTTCAACGTGGATAGAACTGAAGGGTATTATGCTGAGTGAATTTAGTTAATCAGAGGACAAATATTATATGGTTTTGCTCATTCGGAGAATATAAAAAATAGTGAAAGGGATTAATGGGAAAGGAGAGAAAGTGAGTGACACATATCCAGGTGGATGACAGAACATGAGAGACTTCTAACTTTGGGAAATGAACAAGGGGTAGTGGAAGGGGAGGTGGGCCGGGGGATGGGGTGGTGGGGTACAGGCACTGAGGGGGGCATCTGACGGGATGAGAACTGGGTGTTATACTATACGCTGGAAAATCGAACTCCAATAATATATATATATATATATATATGAGAAAAATTGATGAAAAAATTCTCAACAAGATAGCAGAAAGTTGAATTTAACAGTACATTGAAAGAAGTATTCACCACATTCCATTGGGACTTATTCATGGGCTGCAGGGGTAGTTCAAAACTTGCAAATCAATCAACATGATATACCACATTATCAAAAGAAAAGATAAGAACCATATGATTCTCTCAATATATGCAGAAAAAGCATTTAAAAAATACACATCCATTCTTGACAAAAAGGAAACTCTTAATAAATTAGGTATGAATGGAATATACCTCAGCATCACAAAGGCCATATAAAAAAGACCCATAGGTAATATCTTCCCCAATGGCAAAAAAACGAGAATCTTTTCTTTGTGGTCAGAAATGGGACAGGGATGCTACTCTCACAATTATTATTCAACATAGTACTGGTAGTCTTAGCCTCAGTAATCAGACAACAAGAAGAAATAAAGGCATCCAAATTGGGAAGGAAGAAGTAAAACTTTCACTATTTGCAGACAACATGATTCTGTCTGTGAGAAACCCAAAAGAATTCACAAAAAATTTGCAAGAACTAATATATTTATTCAGCAAAGTTGCAGTATATTAAATAAATGTGCACAAATCTGTCACATTTCTTTACACGAGTAGCGATGCAGCAGAAAAAGAAATCAAGGAATTGATCCGATTTGCAATTGCACCAAAAACAAAGAGATAACTAGGAATAAATCTAACTAAATAGTTAAAAGATATGTACTCTGAAAACTGTGGAACACTTATGAACAAAATTGAAGAGAACAGAAAGAAATGAAAAAGCATTCCATGCTCATGGATTGAAAGAACAAAGATTGTTAAAAATGCCTATGGTACACAAAGAAATTTACACATTTAATGCAACTCCTATAAAAATAACAACAGCATTTTTCACAGAGCTAGAACAGTCTTAAAATTAGAATGAAACCACAAGAGACCCCAAATATCCAAAAGAATCCTGAAGAAAAACGAACTTGAATGCATCCTGATTTTCAAGTTATATTACAAAGCTGTAGTCATCAATATAGTATGGTACTGGCACAAAAATTGACACATAGATCAGTGGAACAAAATAGAGAACCCAGAATAGGACTCACGATTCCATGGTCAACCAATCTTTGACAAAGCAGGGAAGAATATCCAGTGGAAAAAAGTCTCTTCCAAAAAGGGCATTGGGAAAACTGGACAGCAATATGAAGAAGAATGAAACTAGAGTACTTTCTTACACTATACACAAAAATAAAGTCAAAATGGATGAAAGACCTAAATATTAGACAGGAAACAATCAAAATCCTAGAGAACACAGAAGTCTCTTTGACCTCAGCCATAGCAACTTCTAACTAGATACACTGCCAGAGGCAATGGGAACAAAAGCAGAAATGAACTAGTGGGATTTCATCAAGACTAAAATCTGCACAGTGAAGGAAACAATCAAAACTAAAAGGCATCCTACAGAGTTGAAGAAGATATTTGCAAGTGACATATTGGATAAAGGGTTAGAATCCAAACTTTATAAATAGCTCATCAAATTCAATACCCCAAAACAAATAATCCAGTTAAGAAATGGGAAGAATACATGGATAGACACTTTTTTGTTTTTGTTTTGTTTTGTTTTAAGGTTTTATTTATTTATTCATGAGAGACACCCAGACGGAGAGGCAGAGTAATAGGCAGAGGGAGAAGCAAGTTCCCTTTTGGGTGTCTGATGTGGGACTTGGTCCCAGGATTCATGACTTGAGCTGAAGGCAGACACCTGACCACTCCACCCAGATGTCCTGAATAGACACTTTTCTGAAGAAGACAATCAGATAGCTAACAGACACATGGAAAGATGCTTAACATCACTTATCATCAAGGAAATACAAATAAAACCATGATGAGATATCACTTCACACCTGTCAGAATGTATAAAATTAATAACAAAAGAAACAACGGATTTTGGCAAGGATCCTCATCAACACCTAGTGTTAATCACAACCAGTACCTCGTTAAAACACTTCGCCCATTTAGTCCTTCTCCTCAACCACCTCCCTCCATCAACCCTCAGTGTGTTCTCTATCATTAAGCTTCTCTTATGCTTTATTTCCCTCTCTCCTCACCCCAACTTCCAATATGGTCATTTTCCCCCCTTAATTTCCACATGTGAGATCACTTGGTATTTGTCTCTCTCTGATTCACTTATTTCACATAGCATAATATACTCCAGCTCCATCCATGTCATTACAAATGGCAATATTGCATTCTTTTTAACATCTGGTAATATTCTATCATATATATATTATATATATATACATATATACATGTATATGCATACATATACACATATATATACATATATGCCATTTGATTAACACTAGGTGTTGTATGTAAGTGATGAATCAATGAATTCTACTCCAGAAACCAATAATGCACTGTAGTTAAGTAAAATTTAAATAAATAATTAAAAAATAATACAAAAAATGGGGCGGGGCAAGATGGTGGAAGAGTGGGGGTCCTCAATTCACCTGGACCCATCAGCTTACCTAGATAACTTTCAAATCATCCTGAACACCTACTAATTCGACCTGAGATTTAGAGACCACAGCCTCTTTACGCTACAGAGAAGGGTTTTCACTTCTAGCAAGGTAGGAAGGTGGAAAAAAATAAAAAAGAATCAAGTGGGGGAGGGGCACCGCGAGGAGCCCGGCTAAAGCTGGGTGAAAGCCCCTGGGACTGGAAATCCCAGCCCTGGGGAAGCGGGACCTTTAAAAATCCGCACCAGATACTTCCTGGACGGAAAAGTGTTTAACAGGGAAATCCGGCAGAATCACAGGAGTGGCAGTGAAGCCTCGTTTCCCAGAATCACTAATAGAGGAAGTGCGTCCCAGCGGAAAGCACACCACAAACTGTGGGCCTATCTCGGAAAAGGGCTGGAGCGTCCATCTGGAGGGACATTTGGTAGAAGCCAGTCAGTTAGGTGGGCGGCTTCAGAGGGATGTGTCTGTACCCTGCTGCCTTTGGGAGCCGTTCCCCCTGGAAGTATGATTCCAGCAGTGCAGGGCCCCGATCCCAGGGTGCAGAGTGGACAAAGCCCAGGATCTTGCACTCCTCCTGGGACAGGCAGAAGTAGGGAGGGCCCAGGACAGCGAGAACTCTCCTGCCACTGGCACCCACAAGCTGTGCAGATCAGGGCACCCAGGCAGGCCCCAGGAGCATCTAGGCCAGTGCAGACTAGGAGACTGACTTAGTTACTAGTGGGGAACTGATTCCAGAGCTTGTAATCTGGCTGCTGCCATTGTTCTTCCTCCTTCTTTCACCATGTGCCTGGGAGGGTCTGGGCTGCCAGGAAACAAAGGCATCACAGGATAAATGGCTCCCACTGAGCCCAGCACCCAGCAGGGAGTAGGGCATCTCGATCCAGGCAAAGACACCTGAGAATCAGCACAGCAGATCCCTCCCCCAGAAGACCACTTGGAAGAACACAGGAAGAGTAAATTCTTGACCAAGCAGCTCTAGAAAGCCCAAGGGGAAGTCAAGGGATTTATAGTATATAGAACTAGAGGGTACCCCTCCTTTTTTTCCCTTTTTCGAGTACAACTCATTTTTCTATCAGACTAAAAATTTCCCATGTATTTTTCTTTTCCCACCTTAACTACAATATTTAACAACCTATTCATTTTTAAGTTTCGTGCTTTCTGACTTTCATATTTATACAATTTCATGTCTTAGATATATTTTTCACTTCTAGATCCCCTTCAACATACTCAATTTAATTTTGGGAGATATACGAGAAATGTTTTGTTTTGTGTTTTGTGTTTACTCTGCCTCATTTTGTTCTACAATGGCAGAAGTTAATACCTTCTAAAACATGACCAGCATGCACCCAGAACTAAATAGTATACCATGCTGGTTCATTCTGTGAGATTATATTCTCTCTTCATCCCCATCCTGCCCCGCTCTTTTATTTCATTTATATTTTGATGGTCAGTCATGGGGCTTTCTACAAGTATTGCTGGTTTCTATAAATTTGGGATGGAGCATCTCTAAACATACAGAACATAATACACTCAGAACCAAGAGGATCACTTTCTAGGACTTCTCAGGTAGACTATATTCTCCCTCCACTACAAATTCTTCACCACCACAATCTCCCAGTCCCGCTTTTTTTTGTCTTTTTCTCTTTCTCTTCTTTATTTTTTTTCCTCTTCTTTGGGATTTTGGCCTTTTATTTTTTACTACTTTGTTTTAAAATTTATTTTACCCTTTAGTGGTCCTTTAGTTTTATTTTGTTTTAATTTTCGTTTTTATTTTCTTCTTTCTAACCTCATCAGAATCATCTAAGATGAAATTTAATTAGGTCGTTGTTAATATTCTTGACTCAACCCGCACATACAGCCATTCTGCACTGAGCAAAAAAAGACTAGAAGGAAGAACTCATTA